ATGGTGAACCCATACTTTTTGATAAGACCACATTGAGATCCCAAGGAAAGACAGTTTCTCACGTGTGGGGGTTCACCTCTAAGGCCCTTAAGGAGACACAGACATATAGTGTGAAAATATAGACCAGCCACCAACCTGAGGGTGAAAGCCAATATTGCTGCCAGGTGAACCTTGATTGATGAGAGCCAAACCTGGCTGTTTTAGGTGTAGTAGGTAGTCCAGAATGAACTGCAGTGACAATATTGTTGGCAAGACCATCCAGCTGGGAAGATCAAAGGAAGAACCACTTCCACTTAAAGTAACTGGCCTTGTAGTAGGAAATCCTAGCCATTATAGGATCTGTTGAACCTGCTCCAACTAGGCCAGCTCTTCTGATTTTATGCAATCAGGTGAAGGGAGCTGAGATGTAGACAGAGCAAATGACAATGGTCCTGAGAGTCCACGTGTGGAAAAAGAGAGATGAGGGCAGCCAGAGAGAACTAGCAGGGTGGCAAATCAATGCTGGGGGGGGGAAGGGGGTGGCATGCTGGGGCTAACAGGATGACCTGAACTAAATTGATCTTTAGCAAGACCTTTTGTATGAGCAGAAGAGGAGGGAACAAACAGTGTAAGCGACTCTTCCATGGCAGTAAGATAATGGCCACAAGCAACCATAGGCTGTGACCCCCACCTCTCGGAGAGCTGAACCGATGATACTTTCTGTTGTACCAGGTCACCAACAGGTCTACCAGGAGAGTCTCTCACCTCCTGGAGTGTCCTTCCTGATATTTATCAAAAGCAACCACCCATGGTGATTGGATAAAGACCAGCTTTCCATTCTGTTCTTCATTCCACCAGCTTGTTCTGTCCTCCTGGCAGGATGGAAGCCTCAAAGTGAATTGAATAGGCTATTCCAAAATTCCTACAGCCAAACTACTTCTTGACAAGGGGGAAGAGAACAAACCCCCTCCTGCTTATTGAATAAATGCATGTGTCATGTCTGTGAACTCATTTTTACCCACAAGATGCGGTAGGAACATCTGACATACTAGACTGTCCTGAGCTCTCACATGCTGATGTGCAGAGAGCTCTTCCTGAGACAAAAGGCCACAGGTGAGCTCCATAGCTCAGTGCTGATGCATTAGAGACCAGGGAAAGTGACAGCTGGAGCCAAAAGAACAGGATGCCTTCACAAAATCAGCAGTGCATCTAGCCACCAGTTCAAGAAGGTGAAAACTGGGTGAGGAATCATGAAGACTGAGTCTAGATGGTGGGAGTCTGGAAAGGTGTATACGGAGGCTAACTGAGTCTGGAGAGCTTGAGGTATAGTCTTGCATACTGAACCACTAGACCATGGGGCCCAGCAGATGCAAGCAAGATCGGGCTATGGTAATTGGATGCCCTTTGAGGTGTGCTATGATGAAGCAGCATTTGCCTGGAAACTACTTTCTGGGAGAAAGGCCCAGGCCTGGGTAGAATCAAACATTGCTCCAGTAAACTATCCTTTCCAGTGGGAAGAGGTTCCACAGAACCTATAAGGCAATGATTCTGCTCCCCTTATTTTTGATTTCCAAAAGCCAAGCGTGGTCTCAGACCTGTTAAAGGCTTGTGCCAACTCAACAGTTACCTCAAGAAGCTAAAGTTCCACACTTCTCATTGGCTTCCATCATTTCCTCCCTAGATCCTGGGGATGGATACTCTCCAGTGGGATGAGAATTGGCAGGCCAAAGGCATGAAAAAGATGACTGAATAAGAAGAATGCTGAGCAGAAGTGGAACTTTTCTCAGCTTCCACCTTTAGGAAGGACTGAACCTCTTGGGCTAGAAGAAGTTGCTCATGAGAAGAGTTCCCTGAAGAGGGACAAGGAGGAGAGATGTAAAGAAGGTAGAACTGAACTGTGGTGAGTATATTCTACTTCAACCATTCTTAGCACCTAACAGCGCATGGTAATACAGAACCATGCCTGGAGAAAGTAGAACAGGGTGTCAAACATGGGGTAAAACAAATTCCTGAAACGAAACTTATACAACATTCTTGAGAGTGAATTCTCCATCAACAAGCTTGTTTGGAGCTCCCCTGAAATGTTTGGAAGAGGCAGGCACTGATGCTGAGGGTGTGGGGGCAGAGGTTTGTGCCTAAAGACAGGACCACAAAAGAAAATGAAGAGGATGAGCTGATGGCAGGTGGGGAGTAGCAGGAGAACTGATGAGCAGTGTTCCTTCTAACTTTTCTACCACATGTGCAGAACAAAGTTTATGCATGCTGAAGCATGTGAGGATGTGCACCCCATGTAGAAACACATGCTGCCACCTGTGGCACTCTGCTAATCAGCTGGGAGGCATCTGAATCTCCCCTAGGCAACTTCCCAAGCACTCAGCTTACAGGGAACTGCTGTTGAGGCCTATGGTGCTTCCTCAAAGTCACTGATATACAAATCTAGAGACTTTAGGATTCTTTGAGATCATGGAGTTTCACACCAGTCTGACCTCAGAAAAGCAAAGCATGCTCAAAATGGCAGAAGGATTTATTGAAGGGTTTGTTGAACCTCCTGCGCGAGGCCGAAAAATTGGAGTCTGGAAATCTAACACATAGTAACTGCATAGGATATAGACTTAGTGGCCACATCCGCTGCATCCAGGGCTCCTGCATTCCATTCTCCACTCTTGTGGGAGTGAGTCCTTAAGTCTGACATGGGGTCCCATGTATTGAAGTCATATCTGCTCAGGAGCACAACTGGTTAGCAATTCAGAGCTACAGAATCCCGAAATTCAAGTAGAGTTTTCTATCAAAAAGGTCCAGCTTTTTTGATCCATTGCTTTGAAAGTCGAATCTGGCAAACCCTGCTCCCATTTATTGTCCCCAGCAACCACCAGAGGTCCCAGGGAAGAAGGAAGGAAATGCATATTCAGGTTGGACTTCCAAAAACTGGGACTCCCTCATCCAGCAACATCTTTGGTCCAGTAGGACCATGGATATTCCTGGACCAGGGAATCCTGGCTGGGAGCCCCAGTGGCAAGAGCCCTGGTAGCATAGCCAGGACCGTGGCACCCCTGGTAGCGGAGGTGTGACCGAGGACGCAGTATCACCAGTAGCAGAGGTGGGGCTGGGGATTCGGCAGCAGAGATGGAGCCGGGGATGCAGCAGCTGTGACCAGCCCTAGTAGTGGAGCTGGTCCTGGGGATGGGGGG